GGTATGTCAACCATTGCTTCTGATAAAAAATAATGCCGTAATGGAGTAAAACAGCTAAAAACACAGAAAAAAAAAGGTTTTTTTTCTTTCTCTTTAAGTGATCACAGACTGTGTACATTATTGGTGTTAACACACAGCTTTCCTAGATCTGCTAACAGTAGAAGGATACTAGCAGGTTGGAAGAGGAGAAGATCAGCATTCGAAATCAGAAAATCTTAACATAGACTCATAGTAATGCAAAAAATATGTAGTAAAGAAAAACACTGATAAACAAGAGTGTGATTATGCTGTGAGTGCAGAGAGAGGAAGCTATCTAACCAGCAAAGGTTTATGACAGAGTAAACGTACTTCATAATACATCTCTGTTTTGGGCATCCATAATATATTAATTCTTTGAACCACATCTGGGCCATTTTGGAACACAAAGAATATTCTCAAAGTCAAGGAGAAAGGCTCAGTTTCTGCAGGAAGTCAGAAAACTAGGACACTGCAGTCTATGGGATACTGGAAATAAAAAAGACCACAGTGACAACAGAGGCAACCCGTGCACTGCCTTCACATGCATTTTAAAACCAGCACTTAAAAGTTTCATATAGTTTCTCCAAGCTAGATGTGCCGGTATACATGTTAGAAGGCATACTTCTGTGAAAGACAGGCTTGACAGATATAAATGAGCTTTCAAGCAGTCAGGAAAAAGAAGCAACTTTGAGATGGAATACAATGAAAAAAATAACACTGAAAAGGAAACCAGCAGCAGCTACTAGACTGAAGGTCCAAAAATGCTGCATATTCACGCATGTGAGTGGCTTTAACAAAGCATGCTTCTTTATAAGCTCACGTGTTGGTCCATTTATGCCTGAACAAATTAAATGCCAGTGATGGCATGACTGGCTCTACAGCTGAGGGGGTGCTTTTATGTTTCTGTGCCACCTCTTCATGGTGCCCGACAGATACCCCTAACAGGGAAACCAAGGACAGCTGTCCCAGGGTGATGGTGGCATCTTGTGGTTGCCTCCACCCAGCTAAGGAATTATGTTTGAACCTCGGATGTAAGGGGCTGGGGGGAAACCAGGTTACCCAGATTGTCTTCCAAGCTCTACCTATTTAAGCGGATAGGCATCTTCTCCTCTTGCAAGATATGATACAGCATATTTGCTGCTGAGTGGGGACAGCTTTGCTTGAGGCCTTTGACGGCTGGAGTAGACTATCCAGGAGTTCCATCCTGAGCCAGCATCTGCGCTCCCTGGGTGTTGGATCAAGGAACGCACCCCGCTGAGGTCCTCTGGCCACGCGCAGGACGGCAGGGCCAGTCCAAAGCCCACTGCTTGTCCTCACAAGACAGTGCATGCATGCTGCCTACCTTTAGCTCTAAAGCGGAGGAAAAACTTTTTACAGAGCTGGTAAATCGGATCAAGTCTTCCAGAACTCGCAGGGTTCTCAGGCACTCAAGCTACACTATCTTTCCGACCTACCAAATAAATTCCGAAAGAGTTGGATGCTACCTTCTAGTSCACATTTAACTTGTCTATTTAGACAGAGCAGCATACGAACATTTTCCTTTCCCAGAACACAGTGGCAGTGCTAACATACTGAAGCAAAAACTGACTGTGGCTTGAACCTTTCCTTAGTGTGTCTTAATAACTAACTCTCTCTATATAAGACAACAAAAACCTGCCCAAAGAAAATAGATGACATTTTCATAGAAATCTTTCACTTAGCCTCCACAAGCATGACACTAAGTTAAACATTCATCAATTTATTGTGTGCCAAGGAATCTTGCCAAAGCCTAGAAAAAATGTTGTACACATGGTTTAGAACAAGCACATGACTGTTTATTTCTGAACCTCATAATATGTAAGCCTATATATCATTGCTATTTAGAGCATCTGCTTTCCCTCACCATAAGAAAATGTCAATCATTCAACTATGTTAAGTGAAGTAATATAAAATGCACTGAAAATACAAGAGTGTACTCTGGAAAGATTATTTGGCCAGTGGCATACATTTTTTACCTGAATTATTGAAGGAATTTCTAACTTCCATTCTTCAAGTGAAGTTAATTTTGAGAAATATTGAAATATGCATTTTAAATAAGTCACGGGTCTCTAGATAAAAATATTTAGTTCAATTAATTCAAAGGAGGAACTTTAAAACTTAGGAGATTTCTTTTTTTTTATTATTTTTAAACAGCTCTAGTACTATTTGCAGGAATTTCAGTATGAAGTCCTGCAGGAAACATCTGCAACCTCTTGGACTCTATAAGGAAGAATAAGAGTTCCCTAAAAGAATAACTTGCATAAAAGAAATCTGTTGTACTTTTCTGTACCAAGAAACATGCAGGAAATCAGCTCGGAAAAAACAATGCTCTATTTCACAGTAAATTGTCCTAGGTTCAGAGCTAACCCAGTTGACAGGTATACCAAGYGAACAACTGAAGCAGGGAGAACTTTCATGCTTGGAGGCAAAACTAGATCTATATCCAACAGTAGGCAGGTAAGCTTTTGAGCAAAAGCTCTCCATGTTACTTCCAGAGAAAAAGAAAATCTAACTGTATTTCACACCATAAACATAATACCTTTAATACATGCATTTCTCCCACGATGACTTTTTCTTATTTCTTTTTTTCCAGTTAAGAAAAAAATGTGTTGGCGCTTGAAAGAGACATGAAAAATTAAAATCTGACATTGTGTCTAAATTTGATTAAATGCAAAGTTTCAATTAACAGCTGGCTAACCAGTATATGTGACCYAAAGGAGTATACTTTTGTTTCATAGTAGATAGGACAGAAACTCTATGCTGCTTTGTTGAAACACTCCGTGAAGAAATTTCATGAAATTTAATAAAGGGATTAGCAAGTAGTCAAAGAAAAAGCATGAGTATTTCCGACTTAAATAGTTAGCTAAAACCAGCAGTGATTATAACCTTAGAACATGCCAGAGCTCAGGGAAAGAACTAAGCTCTGGGCCTCTCAGAGCATGCTCAAATTCATTCCTTTTTTGGCACATACTTATAATTTAAGCCTTAGTCTAAATGCCAGAAAAAGCAATGAGATTTAGAACCCTAACATCAAGCAAATACTTCCATGTTGTGCTGAAGAGCAGCTGAATCTAGATCATGATAATGGTAAAAATGTGACAAATATGACAAATATGAATGCTGCAAGAATATAATCTTTCATTTTGCCTTAGCATCTATGGTCTCAGTAGAAGACCAATCCAAACTTACTTATTAGAATGTAGCTATTTATGAAGTGTAATTCTGTGTTCATTTATTTTAAATCATATTTAAAAGTAATACAAAAGACTTCTATATTTCTTGACATACATTGGCAATACTGTCAAATTCACTTAAAGGAACATTCTAGCAAAATATATTTTAACGGGATTTTCTGCACACTCAAGTCTCATCTCAGATAGTATTTTATCCATTTTCTATACTTAACTTTTTACAGATATTTCTACTAGCCAGTACCAACAAAAGAGTGCTATAAAATCAATTAAAGTCATGCACTGGTGAAGTTATMCATCAAAGAACACTTAAATTGCTCTCTCCTGACTACACCGAGCCTTTTACTCGGAAAGGGCTGGAGCACTCATTTCTGCTTATAGCTTTTGCACAGTAATATCCATGTGCCAATCACAAATAAAAACATTACTCAGTTATGGAGACTCCAGTCCAACAGTTTCCAGTTACCATAATGAATATGCTGGTTTTGAAAATAAACAAGTAGAGCAATGAACATAAAGCTAAATCCCTTATGACAGTCCATCTTCATATTTAATGAACCAAGAACAACGTAGGGAAAATGTCCATAAATCTTATTTCACTAATGCCTTCAAACTACTGAGAACTGCCTATATTTTTGTGTTCGACATGGCTATGTAAGCCAAGTAACCAACCCTAACAAGTGGGATTAAGTTCACTAGAAAAGGATGGGCAAGCAAAAAGCATACTAACCATCACAAAACATAAAAATAGGTAAGAATTATTTAAGATGTTTTCCTTCTGTCCAATGTTACATTGATGCAAGAGAAACTGAAAACATAGCATTTTGGTTTTAAGGTGCAAGTAATAAATAGCTATTTTATATCTTCTCTTTCAATCTTCAGGAATCTCACTGCTTCAGTAACAACTACTAACATTAAAAGTCCCCCCAATGAAAAGAATTTGTACGTATCCTTTACTTGACAAATATTTCTAACTCCAAAAATTCTGAAACACTACTATGGATCTGGTCAGTTGAGGAGGTGTTTTTAAATCACTCTCTTTTTACATGAGAAATTAGCCCACGTGATTTGATCATTATTTCTGTATTTATCACAAATTTCTGCAGAAATTGAATCTTCTATATGCAAGTCCAGAATCAATCTGGGTGCTTAAATACTGCCTGTACAGCTCAAGGAAATGCTGAAGTGCCTAACAAAACTCACATTAGTCTTTTTTCGCCTCCGCCAAATTAAAAAGCAATAAGTGCTCTTAGAAAATTTCTCTTCTTGACAGCATGATGTTACATTCTTCTATGCCTTTAGTTCTGCTGAATGAACACTATGTTGCACTACTATATTGAGGAAGGTAATTTGGGGAGGGTGAGAGGAGGGGTGTGAAAAAAGGGATCAAAAAATATTGTGAAAATGTATTTTAAGGGTATACACATGGATATGCAATTCCTTTCCTAAAAGGAAAGGCTTCTCACAACTGCAGAGAGAAATTTGAAAGTTAGAGCTAAATGAATCTGAAACACTAGATGAGAGAATTCAAAGCAAATGAGATTCTGCTTCAGGCACTTAAAACAGTTTGTTAAAACCACTTTGACACACTTTCAAAGTTGTGCTGAATAGAAACAGCTACTTGTGCTGTCGTGGTATTCTTTTAAAAAGACATAACAGCTTCAAAAAGTTTTACGTGAACTTATCTTGCATTGGCTTGCTACTGAAAACATAACTCTCCCGATAAGTTTTCAAAGTATCCAAAAGAATAGTAAGATCTTAAAATTATCATACCTGAAACAGCAAGAAAATCATCAATGCTCGTTATATCATCCACAGCTTCAGTAAGAACACGGATATGATTCTCCCATGTACTCCTATACATCTCCATGTTGTTTCTTACAACTTGGCTTTTTGGTCTGGCAGCAAGAGCTAAAGCAGCATTAACAACCTGCACCCAAAAACAAGCAAAAAAAACAATATATAATGCTTACATTCTCTGAAAGAATGATGATTTTTACAAATAATACTCATAAGTACTCATATTATGATATTATGATATTATGATTTGTATTATAAAATAATAATTTAATTCTTAGCAATTGATAAAAGGAAACTAAGAAAAAATGTGCTTGACAAGAAGAACGAAAATATTAAAACCACTGAAAAGACATACTGATGTTGGCTTAACAAAAATCAGAACAGCAGTAGGAATTCRATGCACCTACATGATGGTGTTTCAAAAATATTCTCTATGCTCAAGAACAAGGGAAGACTAAAGTAAGTTATTCTGTTTCAATAATACATTGTACGTGACTACCATTAGCTAATAAGAGTTGATACTATACTATCTCATAGCATAAGTACATTTCCAAAGCCACACTTCTATAAAAGAAGCAGAGCAATACTCAACTATTTTGGAGAGAATCACTGTTTGCTCAGAAGCATAAATATGTAAGAGCATAAACCCATCACTCACTTCCTGAAGAACTTAGTATTTCCTCCAGGAAAAAATGCTAGCATGACATACTTAACTATTTGCACAGTGAAGCCAATATGGCAAAATTTATTTATGCCYTCAGTAAACCACTGTTCACAAAACAGTGCTTCTACTTCATTTAGGAATTCTTTTTACGTGAAATATTTCTAGTCATGAAGAATCTAACAATTAAGATGTTCTGGGAAGATCAATGACTTCACAGTTCTGTCACATGTTTCATCACTTGGAAGGAAGACACTGGCTAGAAGTTAAGCTAGACTTCCCAGACTAGTTGTGTCACAAAGACAGACATCTATTTAATATCATAGGGGTACCATTAACCAAGAGGGCTTATGATTAATGACCCCACCTCATCCCTCACTCTAAACTGTACACTTACCAACCATCAAATGGCTAGTTTTTCTATTGCACATGGTATTATTTTTTCCATGTCTTTAGCCCTCGGGTCCATTTTCCTCATCCTGAAACCCAGCAGGATATAACTCAAAATAGGACTGAGAAAGAGACAAGCTGCTGCCTACAACAKAGAAGAGTCTTAGCCATTAAAGAAGCATTCAAGAAAAAAGATGATAAAAAAGAAATGGAGAAATGGGTAATTTTGTGGAGTGATACTAAATACTTACATATGCCACAATTTACATATTGGTCAATGAATGTTGGGAAGATGCAGAATACTTCCCAGAAACCAAGTTGGTGTGACTGAATTCTAGGTTAGTGCGACTGCAATTACTAGTTTACAATTTGTTTTGCTTTTTTTGCAAAAACAGTCRAAAGGAGATTAGAAGTGGTATTACTGGAAACACACAAATATTATCCCTAAATGATGTGCAAATGAAACACACRTACTGTAATCTGTCTCAAAGCATCTAGCAAGTGTTAAAAGAAAACAAAAAGCTTTATTTAAAATTATTCTGTTTAAAATAAGCAATAAGAGTTTTAAGAATGTAAGTCAAGCTGCTCCTTCTAAATCAGTGAGACATGCTTCTGTGTGCCAGTCTCAATAGTAAAGCAGAATTATCTAATAGTTACAGGAATCAGAAAAAATAGTTTGGTACTTCCTACTTCTACGGTTGCTTCCCATGTTGTGTTCACTGATGCATTTCCTGATGGCATTTGATTTGGAAATGAGTAGAGCAGATTGTCAAATTGCCAGATATGTTTTGTGTTTGATCATTATACAAATATAACAGACACATCACTTGCAGAACACGCTACTTCTCTTTGCTTCCTTAATGACATTTTAGCAAAACTTCCTTAATGACATTTTAGCATGGGAGAAACCATGAAAACACAAGCAGGGTAGTCATCTGCTGCATTGCATTTACTGCTTCTTCTGTGGAAATCATTTAAAGGCCCAAATTACAAATATAGAAGCTGACAGTGGTTGTGATGCAGCCATAATCTGTTGAAAGATTGCTCTCTGCACCCTCTARATCAGACATTTCCCTGAGAGAGGTACCGCAAATATCCCAACTCACCAAGTCTACTCCTGCACCACCACTTAAGACAGTTCTCTCTAACAGCATCTTTCAGCGCTGGCTGTACAGGCTGCACGTGCCATGAAATAAAAAGCAGCTTTGCATCTAAAGGATTTCACCCACTGTACCTAATTTATAAAAGTCATGAAGAGATCACAAAACTGCAAACACAGGTTTTAGTGTCCCTGGGKTTTTTTTTAAGTGCTTTCTTTCTCTTACCTGGCTCCATAATACATCTGTTAGGTGTGCTCCTGGTATAACGGCCAGCAATAAAAGTTCTACTCAGACGGCAGAAAAGAACACGAATTTGTGGAGAAAAGTCTGATGTGGATCCTGAATGTTTGCTTCACCTCTAGTGTTTGGTAGTTACTGTTTGCACCTTGCCTGTCACAGTGCCAGCCATAATGCTTGTGTCTGTTCCCCTTCAAGGTGCAGAACTAGCCCTGGGGATCCCCATTAAGCATCCAATCCTCCATATGACATGAACAAGACCCAAAAGCTGGGGGAGTAGCTGACATTAGCAGTATGCTGAATCTGTGAAACAAAGCTGTGTCACAGATGGAATTGTATCTTAGTGCCATCTTAACCTCCTGCTTCAACACAAGGAACATGTTATGTTCTAATGCACTTTGTAATTAAAATACAAGGAAATTGTATTTAGTTATTAATGCTCTAAGTATTTATATTTGCTGGGATTTATTCCTTTTCATTCATTTTCAATCCTCCTCTCTCTTCTAAGCACCATGAAAACATAAGTTTTATAAAGGTGGTATTATTTTGTTGTCATGTCCTACTACAAGCTTGCCTACAGTAGATCCATCCTCTTCTCCTGAGAGGACGAGAAGAAACTCATTCATTTTCTTATGACAAGTCTCTAATAATAATGTTTTATTGCCTTTCTTTCCTTCTCTAGCAATTCTGGTATGGRTCTGTCACCAAAAAACTTGTCATCTGTGAAAAACTCATAAATTCAGAAAAAGAGATGAAGTTGGAAAGAGAAAAAAAAACCTCTTCTGAGAAGAATGCTTTCAGATTTTAAGGACACACAGCAAAATAAATAAATTGTTTATAGAACATTAACAGCATATTTGTGCAGTATGAATTCACCACGAATGCCTTCCAGGAACTTTAAGAAACTCAATCATTCTCATGACTTCCTAATGCCTGTGCTAACTGCAGGTGGGACAAGCAGAGAAAAAAACAGAAATCTTGTGTACTGCTACAGAGGATGAGGCCACTCAGCCTGCCTAGTTGGTATTTTAATATTACAAATTGGAAACTTGTTGGAGATTCTTTTCTAACACAACAGATGCTGCAATATGAAAGACCAAAAGCCTCAAGGCATTTTGTAGTTAATTATTCTCTCTCTGAATACTATCACAGAATAGCCAAGCAGCCATCATGAGATTTTCAGGGGAATTCAAGAAGTTTAAGATGGTGCTGTTTCGTTTTTAATCTTAAAACTCTAATTGGAAAAATTAAAGCAAACACCCGAAGAAGTCTATCTGCATAAAAGCAGATCAGATCTAATACTTTATGATGATCCCCAGCTCTAGCCACCACAGTACAACAAGCAAAAATGCTACACACCACACCAACCACACAGAGTGACTTTAAAAAATTACTTTATCATTTGATCTGTATTACCYCATGATGTCTGTGTATGAAATCTGGATGGAGAGGAGTAAACTGATAGAGCCCAATGAAATCAGTTTGTGCGCCCTTGCTAACAGCAGTTGGAGCAAAACAGCAGCAAGGTCTCCGCCTCAAGAATGAATTTAGTTTCATAAATATGGAATCTAAAATACAGTTATTTTTTGTTAATAAGGTCTTTCAACAGGAGTACTTTTTAATAATTTTAGTAACATTCCTCAATAGTCTTAATAGTTGTCAGACCTAGTACGAAAGATTCAAAGGAAGTATGCAATAGCTCAAAACTAAGTTTGCTGTAATGAACCATTTATCCAAATTTCCTCTATTTATCAAGCTGATAGAATCAAAGTGTAACAATTCTCCATTTCTCATTCCCCCCCCCCTTTTTTTTTTTTAATATAACTGTAGATTTACAAATGCAATTTAGACTCTTTAGGGTGACTGATACAGATACTTCCAGACAGCCAAACTAAACATGTTGTAAGAACAGAATTCAAACAAATTTAAGCAAACTCTTCAGTTCCTAGAGTAAGCCACCTGAGCTTCTTGTGTAAATATTTTGCTAAAGCACATGAGGAACCATAAGGTACAATGCAGGGAGGAGAAGGTGTAGGTACCAAATGAATTACAGACAATCTGCTGAATAGTAAATATAATGTTTTTAAATGCTCCTTTTATGCATTTAAATATCCCTTTATTGAATTTTATAAATTCAATAAACTAACGTAAATAGTTAGGAACAAAGTCTTTGACRAGAAACTTTGACAAGAAACTACACCTCCTAAACAAATAAAACAAAAATTTAAGAAATCTCAGTTAATTCTTTACAATCTTCCTTTTTTTCGGGAGGGGGGGTGGGGGGTGGTACAATTAGTCATCAAGGCAAATCCTGGTGTTTACTGCAGTTATAGCTGTAGGAGAGAATACAAACTTAACGCTTTGATTCTCAGAAGAAATACAGCCTTAGATAGAGTGCTGGGACTAAGGGCAGCTAACCTCAATTTCACCAAGACACTCAAAGGGCAGATCGTGCCACGAGTCTTGTTCCTCAGCTACCTCATATAATGGCCACAGCATGATGTGTAGTATATAGGACAGCCTAGTCTGCACAGTATGATGTTCTTTTGAAAAACAAGCATGAAGATGCCCTTAAGAGCCAAAAGGTCTTACAATATCCATGTAGGTCATATTTTACTGTTACTGTACACTCACTCTCACCTGCTTCCAAATAGGTCCTTCAAAAAAAAATGTAGGGTTATGGTAAGTGAACAAATGACCCAGTTCTTCCACAGAACCCTGGTCACACAACAAGATGGAACACAATTAATTTTGTGAGTTTTTTTCCCCTAACTCCTGCTTTTTTGGTTTAGTGTGGAAGACATGGTTGGTGGGCCACCTGAAAGTATATTAGGTCAAACTGGAGGTATATGTAAATAAAGAATCCAGGCAAAGATAAATCTGCACTCTCATGTGCTAGTCTCCTAGGATGTTTTTAATCTTTCTCAACTCTGAAAGGTTTAAGACTTACCTGCAATCCTCACCTATTCCACAGGAACAAGAGGAGACAGATTTCTTAAAATGTACCACAAAAGTGAAACATATAGGTAAAAATCTCAAATTTTAGATTAAGAAATAATTCTGCAGATTTCCAGCTTTATTGCTCAAAGCCAGAAATGCATTAACTTGCTTTTGCAAATATTCTGTTAATATTTATGCAAAATAGTAAAGAAACCTTCCCTCCCAAAAGTTTGTAATAATTTGGCTAGAAATTATTTTTCATTTTGTGAAACATCTTAGCTACTTTTTATTGATTCTATTATTATAGATAGAATACCTATACTTTATAAGTTAGTTGCTCATGAAACGTTCATGCAAATRCAGAAAGAGTAAGCAATATGTTTTTTATATCACAATTTCTTCTGCTATCTCAAAACATTTCAACCCTTTTGTTGTTTGTTTGTTCATTTATTTTTTTAAGAACTGTACTGTCAGTGTAACATTAGTGTTTGCATATAATCTAATCATGTAAGGGCTTCCCTCCAGGGTGTGCAAATTCTATATCTGCCTTTTTCCCCACTGCTATATGGAAAATTTCACTGCTCAAAACTGCAAAACTCCAAGATTACAAGGGTTTTCCTAGTTTGGGAGTCTTTTTAACTCAACCTATCCAGATTTCAATGTGAACATGACCACTTCAAACAAGTTATCCTTCAAGTGTAYTTCTGAGAATAAGAAGTAGCTTTTACCATGAAGATCTAGAGACCACTGGGGAGTTCTGCATGCAGATTTCCCCCTTCCAAACTCTAACTGATATGCTCTACAGGGATCTTAAGAGATGATTATTTATTTCCCCCATGGAAAATTTTTTAATGATATAACAAAATCGTTTTTACTGTAAAAAAAACAGGAGCCTTCTGTTATTTCTTACTTAAGTAAAACACCAATTGCTTTCAGAAGACATGGTGCTTATCTTGGAAAGCAGCAAACCTTGCATGATGAATACCTAACTAATAATTACATAATCAGAATGCATGCACACCACGTTCACCATTGAGACAATCAATAATCATCAACAAATTCATCCCAATTTTACCCATGAAGTTAAAAAATTAATTTAAAATCAAACTTTCATTTGGAAATTAAATTTAAAAAATTAAAACTTATAAACTTAAAAGGCTGTGAAAAAAAATCAATGTTGAAGTAAAAACAGTATTTTGGAATTTCTAGTAGCACATTCACAATACTTGAAGTGTACGTTTTCAATAAAAAGAAAATTACATCTGGATGCATAATAATGTATTTAAAATGTGTATTTGTACCCTCAGAGAAACAAAGAACTTGGAAGAAATTGTTCATAAAAACCTTCTTACAAAAATTAAAACAGCAATAAATTAAAGCAAAGAGTGAGATGGAAAATACTGAACTGTAAAAACATTATAGAAATAGACACAAGCTGAATGATTCAAGAGAAAACACTGTGGGTCTGTAGATATTTTCAGGCTATCACATTTTCTTGACATGTATGAGTCTTGCCATTTACTCAACAGGCAAAAAATGGACTCCTCAACCTTTTAAATGAACATATTAATATTTGCTCTTCACTTTCTATTTCAATTGCATTTATCATTCAAACACGTGTGAAGCAGTATATTCAGACCACCATGTAACCCATACTGTTCTTTTAAGAATTAATGGTTTTGAATTTATACAGCCTCAAGGTTGATGAACTCAGATTTACACAAACCGATGTGTTTTGCTTTAAATAAATCACAATTGCAGAATTTATATATATATATATGTATATGTATATGTAATTTTAAACATGACAAATACAAAAGTGAATACCATTTCGAAACTAATCCCTTACCAAAAATGTATGTGCAGCTGTGCACTCAATTGTTTAAGGCAAAAATCTCAAGCTTTTAGACTGCTGTTAGTARGAGAAATTCACACGGGAATATATATGCACACTAACTCAAGATGCAGTAATACTTCAGTAATATTGCAGTAATACAATAGTGTAGTGTAATACTAAACTAAGTACGTTAGTAAGTAAACAAATATATTAACTGATTTTTTTTTTGCTGATGAGTTATTCTTTGGTCTCAGTTTAACTAAATTTTAGTGTGAATTGTGTGCAAGTTTTAGCTTGAAGGATGAATGAATATGAATAAACATCTGTGTTGTGTAACAAAAACATACACCTAGTGCACTGTGATGGAAATTAATCGAAAAAAAGTCATACCTGTGGGCACAAAACTTCTATGTGATTAGCTGCCATTTGGACAATTTTCATTCCATCTTCATTTGTTGACAATGAACAAGCAAGATTAGCAACCTTAAATAAATGAAAAAAATGTAAGTATGTACTCATCTCCAGACTCTAAAATACACCAAGAATATATTTGCGAGAAAACTTATTTTTTGTTAGAGAAAGAACATATATATTCATATCTTGGCCAAGAACACATTTGAGCAAGAAATTAAGAAAAGAAGCATGATGGAAATGAGACAACGGATGACAAGAAGAAATCTCATGATCTGTCCCCATCTTAGGGGTTCAGCACATAATAGCAGTAGCGYGGCTTTCTCTTCTGTTTGGATACCATTAGGAAATTTCAAATTCAGATGCTAAGGCTTCAGCTAGATTAGAATCACAGAATCATAGAATGCCCAAGGTTGGAA